CGTTTCTTTTTTCTGCTTGTTTAACACGTGAAGCGGCCGTTTGTGTGTTTTCTGGCCCAACGAGCCCGAGCAACGACCAGGCCTGCAACGGTTTCAGTACATGAGCTCACAAAGGTTACAAATTTGAACAGAACTTAAAGGGAGTATTTTGGATAAATGTGTTTTCTAAAACATTGACTGTGAGTGTGAAGAGAAAACATCCAATTGAATTGTAAGGAAATTTTTATTTAAATCATACGTTATTTTGACTAAATGTTACATCTTGAATTTAAAGTTTTGTGTTGTTTCATAATTATTATTTACAGAGTTTATAAGTGGTAACAGTTACTACAAAGTAACAACGGGTTAACATGTTAGATAAATTCATGATTCTTGGTGAAGATTAAACAGAACTCATTTTATTTTCACTAAGTGGAGGCACCGCCAATATTAAGACTTCTACAAAGGTTAAAACTGGTCAATTATTGTTTCTGCTCTTTACCAGTAAAATTAAGTAACGTACCCAGGGCTCCGCTCGTAGTACTATCATCACCTTAACCGAGAGTTAATCCTGAGCTACGTGAGTTGGGTGCTACATTAGATTATTCACAGTGATGATGGAGCGCCCTGATGATCTGGTTTGACCTCTGAGGCACCAAAAAATAGAAAACGAGGCTATAAACAGGTTAAAAAGCTAATACCAGTCCTGTGTACTTCATCATAGTGGAGGGTGTGTCTGCGTACAGGATCGTTAGCACGGAGACAGATTTTGAAAGATGGTGAAAACAATGAAATCTCCAGCTTGATGCTCCAAGCAAAACTCGACTGACTCCAGTGTGGAGTTAAAGAAAGGTTCAAAAGTGTCAAACTGTGCGGACCGTTGTGTCGAGTTCTTGGTGCAATAATTTGTTAAAAATAAGTCATTTAAAAAGTCATGTGGCACAAAAACATCTTTCCTGCTGCTGTCACCAACTTCTGCCTGCAGGCAACAACAAAAGAAACTTCCTTGGAAATAAGATTTGACTCAAGCAGACTAAGCAAGTCAAACTTAACAATGCTGGAAAGAAAAACAGAATAATAAATGAGTTAAGTGGCACATTCAGATGGAATCTGTAACTTTAATTGCTGCAAAATGTTTGTGGTTATTTCAGGAAAGGCTGGACCCTGATCCAATCTAACAGGCACTGCAAATGTTAACAAACAGGCATCTTGTGAACCAAATATGGTCAGATAATTTGGTAACGGCTGAAGTAAATGAAGCGTTTGTTCACGTAAGCGCGAGCTCGCTGCGTTAAATGGAGGAAAGGAATGACAATGAGGACGCTGACGTTCAGATGTTTGGTTCAAAGATCATCTTTAATGGATCTCGTGGGTCTCAGAACGTACAGTACTGTGCATTGTAAATTGTGCTTGTGCAGTAGTTTATCAGTTGAAGCATGCAGCACAGAAGTTACAGATTCAACAAATGTTTGCATGTGTAAGATGTGCTGTCTTACAGTAACTCTGCTTATTTTCTTCATTCACTGTAAAATTATACTTACAAATGTCGATCTCAGCACAGTTTGAATCATGCAAAGCTTAAAGTTTAAAGTATGTTTTGTATCGTACATCAACCCAAAGATGCATCCAATAATTACACATTAAAACCCGTTAATAACTCTGCTGTGACTGTGTACCTGTAATGACAGTTGTTTTCATGACTAATCGGGTCATTGTTGTGTGATGGGCTCACAGTTTAGTTCCCTGCACCCTGTTGCAGGCTCGTAGGTGCAGGTTAAATGCACGAGGCCTGCGCCACACCTGAAGCACATTTTTGATGCAAAGTGAAACCGTGCAGAAAAATCAGATTTGCACCGATCTTGAAATCTTGTGTCTGTGCACTTTGAGACCCAGTTTGATCTTCAGGCCAGGTTTGCAGAAACATTAAATGCTAAATATTAAACTTCTACTCATGGAGGTCATCAGGAGGACTCGTCCAAAGAAGAGGAATCTTTTTCGTATTTGTTCAAACATGTTGTGTCTTTCCTTAGCATGTCAGTGTAATCTATGTTATCATCATTAGTTAATTAGCAAGATAAGACTTCCTGGAACATTTTCTTCCCATCAACGGCTGCAGGAGGAAAAAGGGATCTAGAGCTTGACGCATCTTGGACTTTAAAAACAGGAGGCAGCAGCGCTCACGCATAACCGAGCAACTACGACTACTGACTCCAGCGGCACTCATCAGCATTTCAGATCATTTGGACATTCCCAAAGACGCTTCAGGACTCGTCGATTAAGTTAACTCCTCTGCTGGATAAGATGGCCGCATCTGGATTACAGCTGCTTGGATTTTTTCTCTCCCTGGTCGGAGTCGGTGCGACTGCTGCCGCCACTGTTATGGTGGACTGGAAGAAGCTGGTCCAGGGCAAGCACCGCTCCTATGAGGGCTTATGGATGTCCTGTGGTGGCGTCCAAGACAGAGCCACCTGTGAAATTTACCATTCCTTTATCAAACTGCCAGGTAGGTTTGATTGCACCCCAGCTTACAACAAGGTCTGTAATTAGTCAGAAATGTCTCAAAGTAAAAATGTTTGTGTGGAATTACTTCCAGCTTTTTGTTGAGCTTTTACAAGCAAAAATGTTCTAAAACTGATATTTAATCTACATTTACAGTTTAGCAAACGTTCCCATATTTGTGCTTCCTGTAGATGAGATTCAAGCAACCAGGATAGCGCTGCCACTCAGCCTCTTCCTCTCTGCTCTGGCAATGCTCGTCTCCACAGTGGGGATGAAGTGCACCCACTTCATGGACGGTGCCTCGCAGAGCAAATCTGTGACAGCGATGATCGGGGGAATCATGTTCATGCTCTCAGGTGCGTTCAGATCTAAACCAAAATTAAATGAGTGGAGAGACTAATGTGTTCACAACAATGTGCTGTTAAAATGTCAGCTGCAGTGATGGATGATATCATGTGCTGTCTGTGATTAGGTTTATTGACCATCATCATCACCTCCTGGTTTGTCAAAGTTGTTCTTCAGAACTTTTATCACTCGCCTCCTCTAATCAGGTACAGCTGACACACATCGTCACGTAAACTCTGTGAGCAAACATGCAGCGCGCTGAGTGTTTATTTGCTCTCTCCGGCAGGTCTGAGTTTGGTAACGCTGTGTTTGTGAGCTGGGCCGGTGGACTCCTCACTCTGACTGGAGGTGCTTTCCTGAGCTGTCGGAGATGCGCGGCCATGTCCTCCGTGTCCATAAGCTCCAGCCGTCTGCTTCCCACCAGTGATCCGAAGTCCAACTACGTCTAGTTGAAAGCAAAGAAGAAGAAGAAACTTTCACTGAATAATGAGGTCACATCAGGGTCGGTCGTGTTGTTTCCCACAGTAAAGATGTGAAGGTTCAACACTGAAATTTCTTCTGTAATTACAGGTTTATGTTTGTGACCCTGTCGTCCTCCTGCACACGTATAAAATCATCACGTTTATAATAAGCTTTGCTTTCATAACTTAAAGTGTGGCCATGAAGTGCAGCACTTTCTGTTGTACTTTGGAGATCTGTTTGTGTCTAAAGTGTGTGATTCATTTTGTAACTTGTCAGTTTTTTTATTGTTTGCATAATTAAATAAATTTGTTTTGTTTTTGTTTTTTTTCTCGTCTGGGTTTTCCTGTGTTTGATCCATGATATTTAAATGATATTTAAATGACATTTAAAGCTTGAACATTTTAAAAAGGCGCCTTTGTGAAAAGAAACTTTATATGAAGTTATTTAAGTTTGTTATTTATTATTAGATGCTGACAAAAACAACAAAAACCCACAACCATGAAGCCACTGCAAGACTGTATTTTTAATGGAGGGAGAATCTGGAGGTTGTGCTCTACGTGCAACAATACAAAAGCATCATTTATCAGCTGCACACTCTTCAGTAGTCTAGCCAGCGTCATCCTCCACGCTGTTGCATGCTGGGGCAGCAGGTTAAGTGTCGCAGGTGGCAACAAACTCAAACTGATTTGCACGGCCAGGAATGCTGAGGTGGTGTCAGAGAGGCGGATGTTGTCCAGGATAAGGACAATGCTAGACAATACATCCAACCCACTCCATGACACGCTGGCCAATCACAGGAGCACGCTCAGCGAGAGACTGAGATTATCCAAATGCACCACAGAGCAACACAGGAAATGATTCCTGCCCGTCTGGCTGTACAGCTCCTCCATCTAATGAAGAGTCACACTGCAGCAGTCGTGCACACCCGTCATCGTGCACATCCTTCACCGTGCACACCCTTCATCGTGCACATCCTTCATCGTGCACACCCTCTGCAGAGAAAATAAGAAGCTTTACAGTTTGGTAAGAGGGCGCCTCAATTTCCACCATATAAACCGAACTTGTGTTATTTGCAGGGATATTTGTAATTGTTTTGTTACATTTTGTAACTTTGTAATATTTGTCATTATTGATTCTGTCAGTCGCTGTTCTTACAGCGACTGACAGTCTGGGAGCAACTGTGGTCGCATAATTTAACATATTATTTCCAGTTTTCAGTAATACTCTGCTTGCTAACCACAGCTGTAAAATAAACAAAGTGCCATAAGTTTAACATCTGTTCAGACTTTGCTTTAACACACAAACTGCATTTGGTTGAATATAAAAGTCCATAAGAGTTTGTTGTTTGCTGTATCCAGACATCAGTTATCTTAAACGCCACAGTGTACACGAGTGTGTTCTCTCCAGTGTATTCGTTTCCTTCCTTTCATACACTGTCATTAAATCCATTACTGTACACAGAAGCGTTGACTCTGCTCTCAGACAAGACAAATTATGGAACGACAGTAAGAAACCTGCTTCTGTTCAGTCTGCATTTCACAGTCATTAGTGTGTAAAACCAACCATTTAAGATAAGTGTGGGCAAATATACAAGAGGACGGTCGAAGGATGAATACATGCTTTGATTTGATCGTTTGCTCTCGGAGAGAAGAGTGAAATTGATTATTACACATTTGCTCCATTAGTGAGTTTCTAACTTGTGGAAACAAATGATCTCCTCACTGGAAACATAACACGACGCAGGTGTGGATTTAAGTGGATTTAAGTGGATGCAGACTCTGAGGGAGTGGCCGTGTGCCGCACAGATTCCTTCCTGAACTGTCAGCAAAACAATAACAGAAAGAAAGCAGTCGTCACATCTAATCACTGCCCTGATTCTCTGTGGCTGAAATTTAACGAGGTGCTGAAAACACTTTGGTTCGTAGCAGCACGATACCATCGCACAGCTGCTGTACAGCCATGATGCAAATGACTGCATCCTGGAAGATGATCAGGAAGAGGAGTACAGCAGTCTGGTGAGGAACTTCCTCACATGGAGTTTCTTACTCACTATGTGTTAACAGACCTCTCTGTATTGAATCATATCTGTTATTAATCTCTGTCTCTCTTCCACAGCATGTCTTTATCCTGTCTTCCTTCTCTCACCCCAACCAATCACAGCAGATGGCCCCGCCCCTCCCTGAGCCTGGTTCTGTTGGAGGTTTCTTCCTGTTAAAAGGGAGTTTTTCCTTCCCACTGTCGCCAAAGTGCTGCTCATAGGGGGTCATATGATTGTTGGGTTTTTCTCTGTATCTATGAAGCGCCTTGAGGCGACTTTTGTTGTGATTTGGCGCTGTATAAATAAAACTGAATTGAATTGAGTCACACAATCCTGCAGCTTAACACCTCAAAGACCAACGAACTGGTTGTGGACTCCGGGAGGTCCAGAGCGGGCGGGGCCCTCTGCGGCCAACAGCTTTAAACGCTGCCACCGCCAGCATAAACTGCCATTAGCCTCTTAAGTAATAGTTGATGCTCTTGCTTTGTGACTTTCACAGCAGGCAGTGCAGAGCTGCTATTGGACAACGTTTGTGTAAACAATGGTTATTAGCAGGACATCGCTGCCATGAAATAAACAAGAGTGAGGTGCAGGTGCAGTATATGCTTACTGACATCTACATTATTTCTTCCATTGAAATAATTGACTTACTTTCAAAGATCAATATTAGAATATTGTTTTCACAGCATATAGTAAAAATGCATACAGCTCTAGTTTAGCTCGTTGGTGTGTCTAAAACTTGCTCTACTGTGGTGTATTACATTCACTGGGCTCTTCATACCAGTGGTTCTTCATAGTATGTGTGATCGGTGTAAATCTGCTTGGTTTGACTGCCACCTAGTGGTGCAATCCACACACAGCGGCTTAATTAAATTAATTAATCACATATTTCAGTTTGGCTTAATTGGTAATCAGGTCAATAACAGATGAAATAACATTTAAAAAACAGACTCACAAAAAACTGTCCAACTAAAGACAGTTGGACAGTTTTCTTACAGCTTTTTTTTCGACTCTTCTTTCTAAAATTATATGTTTTATTCACCTTACTTCTCCATTTATTATTTATTAGACTTTTCCCCTATTTTATCGATTCATCACATTTTTATTATCACTGAAATATCTGCTTTGTTTGCTTTTTATTTCTGTCACGTTTGAGTTTGGTTTCTTGCTTCTTTATAATTGACTTGTTTAGAGAGCAGGAATAAAAGCGACGTAAATAAAAGTGACGTATCAAAGAAGTCTATGCACGTGCTTTGACTCGACTTTCATGTCGTTTTGTGGTGTTTTAAATAAAGTGTTTGTACATCGAAAACCTCAAGAGGGAGACAGCGTCCACTGATGTGGGAAAAGCTGTGGGTCTGCGTGTGGTGGGGAGCGAGCGCGTTTTTCTTTTGTTGACAGAGTTTTCTAGTTGTTTCCTGAGCTCGCAGCTGGATTTATTCTTAAACAGCTGAGTTAACACGAGAGTTACTGAAGCTGCCCAAACAGCGTGGAAACCAAGTTTCGTTGACTGGATGAGCTGAAGAGTTTGTTGTTTAGGACAACAACTCCCAGAAAGTTGATTCTGTTCATTTGAAGGAGCGACGGAAACGTTTGTGCAGGCGACACATCCAGTGAACAGAAGCAGCTTTGCTCACCTGTTTGAAAGTCTCTCGGTTATTTTTGGAAACTCTTTAAGTCTGAAGTCAAATTTCTCCTTTTCAGTGTTTTCAGACTGAAAACATCTTCAGGTTTGTCTCATTGAGCTAAAATTGTCTAAAACTGGAGATTTTGTTTTTTACCTCAATGAACCCAAACAGTTCAAACGGCGCATTCCTCCTTTAAACGCAGCGTTTCGTGTTTTCATGTTGAATAAACGGGACCCACGGGACTGCCCGTGCTTCCCCGTGGGGCTGTCTCCCTGTTACGAAAACGAGCTTTGCGTGTACCCTGGCCATTCATCTCGGAGGGGAGGAGTTAAAGGAGCGCGAGGGGGTCGTAACAAGTGCGTCCTCGGTAAGTAATTATTCCATTTCCGCCTCGCTCGGCTGATCCCTGAGAGGAGCTTGGATGAACTGGAAAAGGAGGCTGAGCTGATTTTCGTGTGCTGTCCGCCTGCAGCTGCTCGCAGCCTGAAGAGAAGAGGATGGATGGAAACTTGTTGATCTTTCTCCCGGTCCTGCTCTCAGCCGTGTCGCCGTCTTCCGCCGGTGTGCTGGAGCCGTACGACGTGTTATACGATAACGCGGTGGAGGCGTTTTACAGTGCCGATTATGAGAGCGTGGTGCGCTACATGGAGGGAGCGCTCAGCAGCCACAGACAGGTCCGGGCCACCAGAGTCCGGTGCCGGCTGAGGTGCCAGGACCAGCATCCGTTAGACGAAAGCTTCTCGGATCTGCGCTTTTTCGACTCGGTGCTGCGGAGAGCGGCGTGTATGAACAAATGCATCGAGGAGAAAGTTGGCACGCAGTCTCTGCACAAAGTCAGCGAGGATGTGGTGCAGGACTTCAACAGGAGGATCCCGTACAACTATCTCCAGCAGGCTTATCAGAAGGTAAGGAGGGGGGGAGCTGCTGGAGCTGAATGAGCGCTATTGTTGCGGACTCGGCGGGGGAAGGTTTGTCTGGCCGGTCTCAGCGCTACCTGCTGCATTCCTCATCAGAAAGTTTCTGCTGCCTGACAACAAGAAGCAGAGAACAGCAGAGTTTTGTTTGTGCCAGTGTTGCGCAATGTACCCCACGTACACGGTGCGTGCAGTGGGTGTGTTATTGTTGACACGTTAATACACATCATGGGCATCAAAGGAAAATGAAAGTATTTAGAAAAACACCATCGCTTTAAGAGTCCAGATACGCTTTATGATCCCCGAGGGGCAGTTTGATACCCCACGAAACACACCCACCCAGAAGACACGGAGCGCAGGAGATCGTTGAGCTGCTGCTCTGCGACAGTTTCACAAAGTGCTTCAATC